GGCCCCAGCCCAGAGACGGAGCGCCCCCAGAACCTCACGCCCATCCCGGACCCACCCAGGGCCAGCGGGTGAATTTTGACCGCCGCGCGCTGTGACGTACCTTCACGCTGCGCTACGTTCAACCACGCGAAGGAAAACGTTGTGTGGAGCTTGGTGAACTTTTAGGCCCAAGTGTCCGTGCGTTCCTTTCAGCGGCTCTGGGCACCTTGGGAGGAAAGCAGTGTTGTGGAAACGACACACGTAGTTACCTTCTTCTTTATGAACGAGTGATACATTTTTTTAATAAATTTGAGAGGGTCTTAACAATTGAATCAGCTGTGTGACAGTGAAAGTAAGAACGTTCAACATTATTTATCAGGTACATCACTGAACTGGAGGATAAATAACACTCCTGTATTATATAGAATATTATAATGTAAAATTTATCAAAAAATGAAGAAAGGTTAAAAAGCTAAAGGTTTAGTTTGAGTTTCTGCTTTTCTTTTCCTGATATTCATATAACATTTGTAAGGAAATATTAACTTTAATTCCTCCGTTCCCTTTCTCTCTCTTTCCTGATTTACTTCTTCAGACTTCATCTGGATGCAGGTCTGGAGTTGGTGTGTGAGAGAGTTCAGCATCCTGACAGCCTGATGGATGAAGCTGTCTCTCCGTCTCAAACAGCTCTAACTACATGCTTTAGCAAAGAGGAAACTTTGAAGCCTGATCTTAAAAGCAGAGTTGGTTTCTCACCCCATCAGCCTTCAGAGCGTATGCGAACTCGGAGTTTGGTTCCCTGAAGTGGAAGACGGCTTTCCTCCATTCGTAGTCGAAGACACGAAAGTTTCCACCCAGAAGAATCCTCCTCAGGCTCTGACATCAACACAGAGACAGGTCATCGGTCAGTCGTTTGTCCTGAATGCAGCCTGACGGGGAACAACAGGTCAAAGCAGCTCTGAACACTCCCTGCTCTGTTCAGACCTTCTGTTTGCTACAGGCAGCCAATGATAATAAAACTAGTGTAAAGGAGGAGGAACTAAAACTGTTTGTTTCAAGCAGAAGTCTGACTGCATAAAGATAACATCATAGAGCTGGAGTTTCAGCACCTGCACACCTCCATCCTGGTATCCTCATAAACCCCGCCTCCCTTCAGCCAAGTGGAGGAGTCGCGTAACACGGCTGATCTGTGGTCAGGTGAGCTCATCGTGTTTACAGGAAAACAGGTCACCTGACACCCAGCGGTGTCAGGTGACCTGTTTCTGAATCCTTGTGTTTACCTCAATCAGTTGGGGGGTGACCGGCGTTCCCCCGAGCCCCGCAGAGATGGCCAGCCTCCGGGGGATAGAGCAGAGGGCTTGAAGGGTCCTCCGGGGTGGAGGGGCTTCCTCCTGCTCCTCCTCTTTCTCCACATCCAGCAGCCTCTGAGGAGAAAGCGAGACAAACAGCTGCCTTCGACCATTCAGTCACAATGAAAAAAACACTTCCCACAGCTTCAACGCTGAACAACGGAAACATCAGATTTACAGCAAACCTGCAGTCACGTGACTCAGGAAGGCGTTTACCTTTGTCTCCCCTCAGTGCACACACCAAAATAAATCAATATGAGCTCCTGGACAGCTGATGAACAGAGCGGAGCGTGAGGGTGACACTGATCAAACACAGTACGTGGTGGTAGTAAGTGCAGTAGTATTTTCTTAGAGGTGACTCACGTGAGGATTCCTGCTCACTTCCTGCCAGAGCAGCTCGATGTAGTCCAGCCTGCGGTCTGACATCACTGACTACAGCTGAGGGACGGCCCTTACTAACACTACAGCGGAGCCACGGCGAGGATGACGAGCTGCTCCTTCATCCTGTCTGAAGCTGCAGCCTGACTGAGTGTTACACAGTCAGCTGAAAACTGACCTGAGTGCAGTGCAGCGGCACCACCAACAGAGGGCAGAGCTGATCTATCTATCGCTCTATCAGGCGTGATGGATGCTGAGAGAGGGTCTCTGAGTTACTGTCAACATTTCAATTTCATTTCTAGTTACAGAAATAGAAATATGCTTTCTTTTGGAAACCGTGGCAGTCTGAGTCGAACCCAGACTTTTGAACCATCAGCTGAAGAGCTGTTAGCTGAAAACTCTGCACACCTCAGCATGCTGTGCATGGATATGCATGCTCACCGTGACAGCCATCTTATTTTCCTGTCATGTTTTTGGATTTGCGCAGACTCATGTATGGAAGGTGTCTAAGTCCTGCCATTAATTAATTCTTCGATCTTAAATATGATCAACCTATCTCTAATGATCGGCTATGTACCACAGGCCTTCAAGCTAGCTGTAGTTAAACCTTTACTCAAAAAGCATCTCTAGACCCAGCAGTCTTAGCTAATT